GAAGTCAAGGGAACAGGTTAGCAGGAGGGAAAGGTTTTCAAGGAGCAAAGAAAAGGTATTTGAGATAAATATTTGACTTTCATTTGTTTGTACATATTGTTGCTCTCCCTGAATGTCACAGCCATGTCCTGAGAGAGAGTGGGACAGCCTGGGAACATCCTGCCGTGCCACAGCACTGGGAGATGGGGCAGGAATCTTCTCCCAGCATGGAGCAAGAGCTCAGCTGCCTGGAGTTCCACTTTCCAGATGGCAAACTCAGTTCTTTAACAACTTCTGCAGCTTCCTTTATAGGTCAGGAAAGAGAAGTTGCAGATTTTGGGGCAGCCTGCAGAGTCCATCCCTAAAAACCTAACTGCCTGGGTGACACCAGTGCCTCTGTGCCACATTTAACACTCCACAGCCTGACCCGCTTTGTTAGGATTTGCTTTGTTCAACACGGTTTAAACACCAAAACATCAGCAACTGCAGGTTCTAGGCAAATCCCTCGTTTTTCCTCAAGGGATACCCAAAGGCAGGCTTAGCCCTTCTCGCAGCCTCCTGAACTGTGGTTAAATACAGAGAGAGTATTTTGGGACATAATGCCATGATTTTTATGCAGGTTTTTTTCATCCTGACACTTCAGTTTGGAAGCTGAGCATCATCCCATACACACTGAGCCAGTTTGTGACATTCAGGTCATGCCATAGGTGCTGCCTGGCCTACCCATCAGCCCAGGATTTGGGACTCAGAGAGAGCTCAGGTTTAGGTCTGACCCAGGGCTCAGGTTTGGAGGGTGTTGATAAGGCAGCAAGTTGCACTCTCAGCCCGTGATTCCAAGCACACATTAGAGCCATGGCAGCTGTATCCACAGGCTCTGTCTCCTCACTTTTACAGCCACGAGACCCATTATTCACATACAACATTATTAAGGTTGTATATGTTCACTGGGAACAGAAGACATCAGGTAATCATGAGGCTCTCAAAAAGAGTGAGTTATTGCAGCAACCAATGCTTTTTTTACAAAGGTTCTCATTTGATTTTAGCATGGATTGAAGCATAAACCCACAGAAGTCATTCACAGGCCCTAACTGCAGTTACCCCAAAGCACTCAGAAGGTAGCAAACTGCTTGTGTGGAGTTCTCTTCAATAGTTTGGTGTTTTGTTAGGAGCTTCACAGAGCAGGAACAAACTAGCTCTGCTACAGCACTACCCACAACTGGGAGAGCTGATGGTAAGAGTTTGCCACTCTCCACCCTGGTCTGACTCCAGTTAGCAGGTGTGAGAACCACAGCAGCACGTGAATCTGCTTCCCTTAACATGTATCCTACAGATCTCACCCCCAATAAGCATCAGACACAGAGCCCACTCACCTCATGTGCTAACATTTTGTACAGTTCTTCTTTAGTCACAGAAATCCTCTCTCTGTCTGTGCTGTCCACAACAACTATCACAAACTGTAAAGAGGGAGAAATGATTAGTCAGAGAACAAACTCTTCCTGTGTAGCCAAACCTTTCTGGCCACACAGGTGTCAGCAGAACAGGTGAGTGTTCCCAGCACATTATCCAGACAGTCAGATGGATTATATTATCCCTAGCCCAGATATTCTCAGCTGGATTAGCAGGTATCTATTCCAGCCCGAGAGGGTGACCCACAGCCCTGGTTCACAGCTGGTGCTGTGGTTTGTGTACAAACACCGCTCTGACCCAGATCTGAACTTTCTGTTCTCCAGTTTTAAGTGTAAAATTCATCCTGAAACAAGTGAATTCTCTGTAACCTCAGATCTGGCTTGGTTCTTTGCTAGGCCTAACTGAGGCATCACACAGATCCCTCACACGATTTGCTGGACCTTTAAAAACATCAACTGTATCAATTTTCTTCCTCTAGCTCACAAACTAACACGCAAATAGGTATTTGTAAGGGATTTAGAAGCTCCAAACTCTGAGGACACACAAACTCTGAGGATCACAGAATCATTTAGGCTGCAAAAGACCTCTAAGAGGTCACAGCACCTCATAAGGATAATTATTATAGGTAATTCTTATAAAAATACCTTTTTTTAAACCCATATTTGATGACACACAGGAAACCTTGATTTAAAGCAGCATTTTTATCAAGGTATGTGCTTGATAAAGTTTATATATGCTGCAAGTTCACTGCTGAAGAGTTGTGAAAAGTCTTGGGGTGCTTAAGGCGATTGATTTATAGATTGTGAAGGGGTTGGGACGGACCTTAGGGATGATCCAGCCCCAACCCCTGCCCTGGGCAGGGACACCTCCCACCAGAGCAGGTTGCTCAAGGCTCAGCCAACCTGGCTGTGAACACTGCCAGGGTTGGGGCAGCCACAGCCTCCCTGGGCACCCTGGGACAGGGTCTCACCACACTCACAGGGAAAACTTATGTTCAATATCTAACCTAAATTTCCCTCTTTCAATTTCTCCCCATTGCTCCTTGTCCTGTCCCTGCAGCTCCTAACACAGAGTCCCTCTGCAGCGTCCCTGGAGCCCCTTCAGATCCTGAAATGATGGTAGAACTAACAAGAATGAGCTCCCAGAGCCTTGGAGGAAAACTTTGGTGCTTTCCGTCGTACTCCTGAGGACTTAGACAGGATTTGGAGGACACAAATGGTCATGGATAACATGGAAAGACCAGCAACACCAAGAGCAGCTGAGCAGCCCTACGGCTGCAGACCCCCCCACAAACCCCTCCCAACCCCAGGAACAGCCCCCGCAGCAAGGTGGTGGCCCTGACCTCAGTGTTGGTGTAGTAGGTGTTCCAGGAGGAGCGCAGGGACTCCTGACCCCCGATGTCCCACATGAGGAACCGCGTGTTGTTGACCACGATCTCCTCCACGTTGCTGCCGATGGTGGGAGAGGTGTGCACCACCTCGTTCATGGAGCTGCACAGGGAACAGGAATGGCACACTGCAGAGTCACCTGCACCATCCAGCACCTCAGGGCTCCATACTGACCTACTTCTGCACAACCTACATACACTCCATGGGTACTCCCAGTGGGAGAACGACAGCAAACACTCCTCACGCAGCAGAGACAAGGTTTGATGGTGGAAGGTGAACAAAAATAGGTGAAAATAGCAAGGAAAAAGGACACAGTGAACTATATAACAATCAAATCACAGAGCTGAGACAGTACGCAACCACAGCTATACTACAACTGATGTAATGATAGAGCTGAGAGGGTTTGTGCTCCAGAAGCTGTTGGAAGCACTCAGTTCTTCCCTCTCCAGGCCCATTCTGGCACACATGGGACAGAGCAGTTGTTTTGCTTCAAGAATGTGGTTAAACCACAAGATCTCTAAGGTTTCAGGATGACAACATCTGACCAAACACACCACATCCCTCTCTCCTTCCAGCGCAGGCCACTAAGAGCCTGTTTTCTCCACAGCTCAGTACCTTCCTGTCCTACTCTTCTCCCTCCAGCACAGCCCAAAACACAACATTTTGGAGGCAAAAGCACTCGTTAAATACTTAAAATGTATTGTTTAGAGACCGTGAGTGCAATTTTGCCACCAAACCCACCAGTCTCACATCAGCAGTGATCACCAAACGTGTGCTCTTGGATACTCCTGAAGTTCAAACTGTTTGAACTCTACGGTAACATGTAAAAAAATTATCAGTAGCTTCAGGCCAAACCAACAATCTTCAAAAGAACTTAATTATTTTTAATTCTGATAATCCTGATATGCTTCTTTTCATGACAGATGAACTTTTTGAAGTTCCAACAAAGCTTTTAGTTACAGTGACAGCAATTTGAGGCTTGCAGCAGTGCTGGAATATTTCCTGGAGAAGATATGGAGCCAAGGAGATAAAGGGATGGCCCAGTGGGCTGAAATGCAATCCCAGGTATCCACAGCATTTCACAGGGAACCTTCTCACCACAAACACTTGCAGGCAAACGTGTGAGAAAAAGAGAAGGAGCAGAAGAACCATAAAATCAAATTAAGGATAACCGTGACATGAGTTGCCTGTGGCTGATTGCATATTTAAAACCCAAGCTGCAGCAGAGTTCTTTACATGCTTGGAAGACACATCAGGAATCTCCTTTCCTTGCCTGAACCTGCAGCCTGACCGACTCCAGCTGCTGGGATCTCTCTGTGTGCAATACGATAGGGGGATCCTTCCCTCCTCCCCACTGACATGAGCGTGAAGCTTAACACCATTTCCAGACACCTGATCACCTGCCTGAGGGGAGGGAGAGCTGAGCAAGGGAACAGGATGAAATGAAGGGTCTTGCAAGAGGGAAAAATGGGATGTGCAAGGATAAAGGTGTGGTTAAGGGGAAGCCAGGCAGGAGGAGCAGTCCTAGTCAGACAGAGACAAACAGGAAAGGGGAGTGCAAGAAGAGAGATGGGGAAGTCCTGTGGAGATAAAATGGGTGTTAAAGGAAAAGGAGACATGCAGAGTTCCACTGCGTGAAAGAGAAAAGGAAGCCCTCGGCCTGCAGAAATAAGAAGAACTGAGAGACATTTGTGGAGGAAGTGGGAAGACAGGAGTAGCATTAAAACACACGAGGATGACCCTCAGCTGCAACAGCCCCTGGGCTTGAAACCATCCTTCGTTCTACTTGTGCTTTTCAGAACTCTCACTCCCTATATAAATAGCCACTACTTCATCCTCCACTCTCCCTGTGCAGGGCACAAGGGCTGGAACTGCTGCAGGAGGTTCACGTTTCAGACAGGCACAAGCAGGTCCTAATGGGACAAACCCCAAACATTCCCAGAAAGCGTATCTTAAGTGTAGGATTGGACCAGCATGGCCACATTGAACAGGAATTGCTCCGAGGGCCACATCACTTCAATGGGAAAGGGACCATCTGTTCCTACTCCAAACAGACCTTGAGTCCCCTTGTCCCACCCAAAGCTCCTGAGCCTGCAGAAAGATTTGCACCCTCTTATCAAAAAATGCAGTGGAGGACCCAAGATATGAAGCTCATACAAGCCCCAGGTAAACCAGCAGCAAGGCTAATGCAAGACAAACCCAAGACAGTGCCACCAGTAAAGGCAGAAGGTGCAGGACAGGCTGCCACCACCCAGCTGGGCTGAGCTTTCCTCCCTCATCCCGCACCATCAAAGCACATCTCAGCACACGGGCCACGAGTCACGGCAGGGAGAGGTCAGGCTTCACTGCTCTGCCGCTCACAGAGCAATTTGTTTGGTATTTAAATCAGTTTAGCAACACTCACTGCAATCCTATGCTGTGGAGCTGGCAAAGAACCACCGCGGTGGCACCAGAGGTGGTGGTAGTGAGTAAAGTGGTGATAGCAGATCACCTGATAAATAAAACTCTGATTCATAGAGCAGAGACCTTCCCAAGCCTGGAACACACACTGCCACCTGCAGTGCTCAGTGACCTCCAGCTGATGCTCCCGAAACTAACCAGGACGGCAGCGACAAGTCAGAAGAACACACACCAAACCCAAACCCACACCCCAAACACCCCAGGAAGCATCACCTCCAGGTCATACTTACAATTGGTACAGGATGGTGGTTTTCCCTGCATTGTCCAGGCCGACAATGATCACTTTGTGCTCTGCAATGGAAATACCACTGGTCAGTCACACAGTTCACTCTGGGACAGTTGGCTGTGTTTGGAACAAGTCTGATGCCCTGGTTCCGACCGATTTCCTTGGCAAACAGTGCCCAGGTGCCACGGATAGGTGCTCAGGGGTCACTCTGGGAAGTCTGTGTGGGGAAGTGCACAGCCCTCCTGCTGCTCCAAGCAGGGAAGTGACTGACAGTGTTTCCACATCTACAGGAGCAATTCCTGGAAGATAACACAGGGATGTTTTCCTTCTCTAAGCTACCAGAGAGATGTCAGTCTGGAATCCTCTCCCAAGCTCCTCCAGGTGTTTGCAGCCTGTCCTCTCCAACCCGCCAAGCACCGCAACTCTTCAGAGCACGTGGAAATGTTCACTCCCACTTTATCGTGGCTTTATCACGGCAACAGCTTGAGCTCTTCACACAGAGCAGCTACAAACCACAGCCACACTGATTCGCACCTGTAAGCAGAGAGACCCATTGGCCTCCCCCAGTGTCACCAGTGACCCCCCTGTGCCCTTAGTGTATTTTGTGACCCATCTGTGCCCTCAGTGTATTGTGTGATCCCCCTGTGCCCTCAGTGTATTGTGTGACCCCCCTGTGCCCTCGGTGTATTGTGTGATCCCCTGTGCCCTCGGTGTATTGTGTGTGATTCCCCTGTGCCCTCAGTGTATTGTGTGTGATTCCCCTGTGCCCTCAGTGCCAGCAATGATCCACCTGTGCCCTCGGTGCCAGCAATAATCTACCTGTCCCCTCAGTGTATTGTGTGATTCACCTGTCCCCACGGTGTAACAGGGTGATCCCCTGACCCCCCCAGTGTACTCTGTGTAATCCCCCTGTGCCCCTCAGTGTCCTCCTTTTGCTTTCAGCAGCTTTGAAACCTAGAGAACAGACTTGCCCACAAACATTTGACAGCACACATTCACCCAGCCCAGTCTGGATGAAGCAACAGGTACTACACAAACCCACCCTGGCACCTGTCAGATGCTCTGGAGCACAAACCTGCCCTGGCACACCTGAGACCCTTGGGAGCATAAACCTACCCTGGCACCTGTGAGACATTTTGGAGCTCACTGCCCAAACCCACTACTGTTTCTCTTTAGAACCTTCTCTCCTGCACACCACAGACTGTGACCTCCAGAGCTCATGCTGTCAGGCACATCCAAACCTGGGACTTCCAGGACAGGTGAGCACAACCAGCTCTCAGCTCTCTACACACCTTTTCCTTGCACAAACACCCTTGGCTTCACCAGGACGATTCAAGTCAAAGCCTTGTGAGGAAGGGATTTCTCCCCCTATCCTCAGTGGTCCTCAAGGGCAACAAAAAGGCATTGCAAACATGTTTAAGCTCCAGACACCCAGAGATCAATTCCCTCTGCCAGCCAAGTACACTCACATCGATCTATCACAGAGCAGAGGGAGGGGACAGCGGCCAGGTACGTGGGGGTTGCTTGGCTTTGGTTTTATCAACACTGTGTGGTTTTGCAGAATTGTCTTGTGTGACATCCACTGTAAAACCCAGTTTCTATCACTTTGCACAACTGCACAATACTGTAGAAGCACCTGCTTACCTGACGCCACACCCCCAGCACAGCAGAGGTTAGGGAAGCAGCTGGAACAGGAGATCTGAGCTGGGGCTACATGACAAAAATACCTCTTTGCATCCGCACTAAGTGCTCCTGGGGGTATAATGGGACACAACACACAGCTGTGAGTGCTCTGACCCTCACTGAAATCAGGTGCCAGAGGCTTTATGGACATGGGTGACAGTGTCAGCAGGTGTTTCATAGCTAAAATCACTACTCTCACACCTTACAGTAAGGAGACAAAGCACAGGAGGGTTTCGGTGGGAAGGGAAATTAAGGATCATTCAGTCCCCGCAGGCAGGGACACCTCCCACCAGCTCAGGCTGCTCCGAGCCCCATCCAACCTGTCCTGGAGCACTCCCAGAGCTGGGAACACAACCTCAGCTGCAGCTACAAGTAACACTTACTCCCTAAAGGAGCAATGGCACCAGGAACGGAGGCTCATAGCCCCACGCTTTGCACACAGGGCCAAACTGCACACGAGAATAACACAGCACTGCTCTCTGGGGAAATGGGGTGGAAGGGCATGGAGAATCATGGAATCACATAATCAACAGGGTTGGAAGAGACCTCCAAGATCATCAAGTCTAACCCTACCGTGGTTACAGGACCATGGCACCAAGTGCCACATCCAGTCTCAGCCTAAAAACCTCCAGGGATGGGGAATCCACCACCTCCCTGGGCAGCACATTCCAATGCCTGAGCACTCTCTCCGTAAAAAATCTCTTCTGATATCCAACCTAACCCTCCCCTGGCAGAGCTTGAGTCTGTGCCCTCTTGTCCTGGAGAGGGGCACGGAGAGGGGACGGAGGGGCAAGGAGTGGGGATGGAGAAGGGAAGGGAGAGGGGACAGAAGGACAAGGAGGGGTATGGAGAGCTCTGGAGCGGGTCCCGAGAGGCTGGAGGAGCCC